AACAACTCTCCTTTTTCCTTAGAACTCTCAAATGGTTCTGCTTGCCAATAGGATAAGGTGTGCATTCTTACAATGGTCTGGTATATTCTTATTACTCTTACCTCACACTTCCCATCCTGCAAACAATGCATTGTGTCTAATACCTGGATCACACTGATGCTTTTCCTGATGGGATTGCATTTAAATGAAGTGTTCTTGGGGTCAAGTAAGGCTGCAACACAGGAGGCTCACTGTGGCTGGTCCCTCTCAGGATTCAGCACAGAGGAAGCAACAAAAATGAAAGGGATCCTTTGAGTCTCCTAGGATGTAAGTACAGAAAATATGGCTAATATTTGTAATGACTTTAAATGGAGCATAATCCATAAAAATATCAAATTACTACACTGCACACCAGAAACCAATATTATATTGTAAATCATTCACTTCAACTAAAAAAAAGCTGCTGTCGAAGGATCAGGCTTCTGACTTAGCACACAAATACAGGTGGCCAAAACCCTCCCTGGAGACTGGGGAAGTTTGGGGCACCTCTTCTGCTTTCTCCTACAGTCCTTTCTAAGTTGCCCCAGATTTTATGGCTGCTGCCCAAGGGATGCGTCCCAGGATCACCAGCTCTGATAGCCAACAAGGCTTGAATTCATAAAGAGGCAGATCTTAATGGTTGCAGGAGCCCCCTCTCCATTCTGTCGTGGCTGTACACCTCAGTCCAACACAGAGGGTGAAGGAAAAACACACATCTCCAAGTTTACCCCTGGAAGGGGCTTAACCATTAACTACCCCAGCTGCCGAGTGAGGACCCACTTTCCAAGCAGCCTGCATCTCTAGGTGAAGAGTATGGTTCGCCCATTTGGGCCACCGACATTTCTCAACTACTGAAACAAATAAGAATGACGATGGTGGCTTGGACAATTACAGAGGTTTCCGAGACAACCAGGAGCTTAGGCCAGTCTGACTGACAAGGGTTATCTTCTACTCCAGACCGCTCTGTCAAGACTGGGAGAGGTGGCCATTTTATCTAATGTGCAGAGAACCACACACAGAGTCAAGGGAAATGAAGAAACAGAGTTAACACATTCTAAACAAAAGTACAAGAGAAATCTCCAGAAAACAGATCTTATTGAAATGTAGATACACAGGTTACTCAATAGAGAGTTCAAGATAGTGGTCATAAAGATTGAATCATGAAGAAATACAGGGTCTGAGCAAGCCAATTGCTAGTAAAGAGACTGAATAAGTAAACAAAAACCTCCAACAACTACAACAAAAAAAAAGTACAAGATAAGATGGTTTCTCTGGTGAATTCTACCAAATATTTAAAGAAGAATTAATACCAGTCTTTCTCAAACACTTCCAAAAGTCCGAAAAGGAAAGAACATTTCCAAACTCATTTAATGAGGCCTTAATCATTTGCCTACTTGAATGAAGTCTGGAAACTTCCTGTGGAAGGCTTCTTTTCTGTCCATCTTTTACCTGTTGTGTCAAGTTTATTATCTAAAATCTTCCCAACCCAGGGATTGAACCCAGCTCTCTTGCATTGCAGGTGGATTCTTTTCCATCTGAGCCACCAGGGAAGCCCAAGAATACCAGAGTGGATAGCCTATCCCTTCTAGAGCGGATCTTCCTGAACCAGGAATCGAACCAGGGTCTACTGCATTGCAGACAGATTCTTTACCAACTGAGCTATCCTGGAAACCATTATCCAGAACATCCTTGTCATGTTTAGCTTGTTAAATTAATTAATGAATTGAAACACTTTTCCAATAAATATTTCTGCTACAGGATCATTTGTGGGTAAAGTTAATTAAAATCCATATAATCAGAGCCCCAAGCAAAATGAAATGAAAACTTCACTTATTCATTCAATTTTTGGACTTCATTCTAAGTTCTACAAAAATACACAAAAGTTTGACTTCAGATATGTGTTTTGAATCATGTAGTTGATCTTATTCAATCAGTGATTTAAAAGTGTGTCACAAAGAAAAGAATAATCAATACTGTCTCATTCTGAATAGCTATTTTTATTAGCACTATTCATTATCTTAATTAAAGAACTGAAACTCCCCAGAATGAATATCTCTACTTCCAATCTTGAGTGATTAAAATCCCCATGTTTTCTCTTCTGTTTTATAATTTTTCTGTCTCAGTCAATAATGTCTCATGTTTGGGACCTAGGTTCATTCTGTAGGATCTGCTTCCCTTGCTATCTCCTGCTGAAAGGAGCATGGAGCCACTTTCCTTTTAATGCTAAGTTGTATCCGAGCCTTTCAGATAGACTTCCCAGTTCCAGAGGATCAATAGGAAGGCAGGAAACTTCTTGTCACTTCATTGCTGGGGACCATGGTGCTGACATTTATAATCCAATTTTGATAAGGAATTCAGCTAAAATTTGATCTGCCAGTCATTTCAAAGTTGTTACCCCCACACTCCACCCAACCCCTCCATAATGACTTTCCTAAATGCTTTTTCATTTTGGAACACAAATTAAAACTACACAGAATTTGTAAGCATATATAAAGTCATAAGCATTTCAAAGCAGATTTTAAAAGAAAATAATTGTTTCTTATACTGAAGAAAAGACTGAGTAAAATAGAAATGAAAATGTTATGTATAACATTTATTTCTAGCCTAATGCTAAGATTATATTTAAACATACACAAAAAACAACAACAGTGAAAGCAACCAAACATGCAAACAAATGATAGAACGGTTAATATTTTTATTTCTTCCATTTGTACTGTTATTTATCCTTGTTTCATAGCAATGCTTGCATTTTAGACAATTACCAAAATTGAACAGCAGAGGGCAGAGAATAGCAAACTGTGTTTTTGAGCACACTATTCTATTCAATTTTAGTCTCAGTAGTTTTGAAATTTTCAAATTTGATTTTACTACTGATCAATATGAGATATACTCTTGAAACAGGAAGTTTCTAAGTATTAAAAATAAATTATAGTATTTTTAATTTGTTTGCATAACCACTTCCTTCAGCCAGTTTATTACATTTATACTGACAGTATTCTATGCCTGAAAAATGCTATATGATAAATACTATAGTGAATTTGAAAAAGTTTCATTAATGATAATACAAGCACAACAATGCCAATGCTGCAAGAGATTTATCTGTCTATATTTGATGTGAAAGTACCTGCCTTGTGAAAGACAGTAACAAAGTAATAGTTGAATTACAAGTAATGCCTACTAAATTATTTCTATTTTATATATGAATTATAGTTGGTCACTAAACAGTAATATTTCCTTGAAATTGTACATATTATTTACTAGGAAAAATGTTTCTATGATTCAGCAAATTCTTATTTTATATTATTTATTTTTATAGATTGTAATTCAGTCAATGCTGGGTTCATCTTTGTCCTTGACTTTGAAATAGATTATGATAAAAATAGCTTTTGAGGCGACCTCTTTAAAAAAAATTAATTTACATTGGCCCATTCTTTAAACATGACCAATTCTCCACATTTAACCTTCTGTCTCTCTCTCTCTTTCCATTCATTACTAGTTACTTGATACGAAGTTTAAGTTTTTCTTTCGGGAAAAACTGAATGAAGAAAAACGATGGCTGAAAAATTTTCTATTTTGCTCTGAGTTGTTATTCAATCTTTTGTATAATAAAGAGTTCAAATAGAGAATAATGCAAATCATTTTTGTGATTTGCAAATCACAAAATAATGCAAATCACTACTAGTGATTGAATAGATCAGATGCATTTAATTATTCTTTATACTGTAAATGTGGATATATATTTACATATATCTTCCTTACTATTTTCATTCTTAATTTTTAAAAGGCTTTAAAAATTTTTTTAAAGTCATTTTGACTCACAACACCTGTCTCATATACATAGAAGTGTATATTAATGGACTAAAATAAATTCCTGGTGATAGAATTGAGTGGTATTTTTACCTATAGTATAAGATCTTATTAATAGATCATGGATTCTTTTACTTCCTGGCTTAGGAATACATATAGAAAATCAAAAAGAGGGAAAGACTATGACTTGAAATCCCAGAATTACGTGATTAGAGAGTCATGGAGTCCACTTTGCTCATCTTTCTCATTTTAAAAGTTGAGGCCCGAAGTGATTAAGGGGGAGTATAAGATGCAACAGTCAACAGGAGGTTACACTAGTGATATTACTGTGACAATTGCACGGGAAAGCCGCACAGTAGACTAACTCTTGGCATTCTGAAATATCACTAGGCTACTCCTTCTGTGATGTGGGCTCCAATCTCCAGCCTCCTGGAAACAGTCCCTTGTACTCAAGCATCCTTTATTGCTTTGTTTAAACCACTAAAGCCATAAACTCCGTGAGGAATTTCTGCCAAAGCAGGTCCCAGGCGTCCGCTTGGCAGGCAGTAAGAGGTGCGTAAATCCCCAAGGGGAAATCCAGGCGTCCATCCTCCCCACCAACTCCCTTCCCCCAAATTTTTAATCCCTAACCTCATCTTTTTCCTCCAGTGGTCTCCAGTTCGCGGGTTCAAAGAGATGAGAGCTTGCTTCACTTTCTTTGGGCGCTGATTATTTTCAAAACTCACGGCCAAAAATGCGACGGAGTATCCGGTTTCTAGTAAGCCTCTGGGAAAGGTTGCGCGGCTCAGCGGCCTTTCAAGACTAGCTTCGTCTTTTCTTTAGTTCAAAGGGAGTCTTCTTGCTTTCGATCTGTATACAGACGGGGATCTAAGTAGTCCAGACTACAGGTCTTTACTGTGTGTTTGTGTGTGTGAGGGGGAAGGGGTACGATGAGAGGGGGCTGGTAGTCTGCCTTGAAAATTGCGAGAGGGACCCGCACGCAGCAGGCTGGGCAAGTTGGTGTCACAGCCCGGTGGAGCACAGTGTAAAAATGGGATTTTCATGCAAAGTGTTCCAAAGATTCAACCTTGATCTTCTCCTATGCGGTTTTGACCTTTAAAGATAGAATTTTAGGTTTTCCTTATGTGTGTGTGTATGTGTGTGTGCGCGCGCGCGCGTGTGAGAGAGGGGAGAGGGAGAAGCGCGCGAGGGTGAGTGTGTGAGCGCATGGGAGGGTGCTGAGCGTTCCGAGGCGCTGGGACCACAGCGGCAGCCTGCTGGAAACTGCATCTAGCCGGTCCTCCGGACTTCGGAGCAGGCGCGGGGCGCAGGGCGGCAGCCACCCGCAGGACCTGGAAATAGGGATTCTTCTGCCTCCACTTCTGGTTTTTAGCAGCTTGGTGCTAAATTGCTGTCTCAAAATGCAGAGGATCTAATTTGCCCAGGAAAACGGCCAAAGAAGGAAGAGGAGGAAAAGGAAAAATAAAAAAGAAAGGGTATTTTGTGGATGCTCTACTTTTCTTGGAAATGCAAAAGATTATGCATATATCTGTCCTCCTTTCTCCTGTTTTGTGGGGACTGATTTTTGGTGTCTCTTCTAACAGCATACAGATAGGTAGGTACCCTTTGTGCTCTGCTTTTGAATTGTGCATAATTTGGTGGTAATCTTTGTTCACGGTGGACAAATTAATTCATGTCATGTAGACTTATGTCATACCTTGACTGCATTCCAGATTTAAATTGCCTAGAATATACATGTTTTTCTTAGGATGAAGCAAAGGCAAAAGATTGTGTCTCTGATACAACAGAGGGAAAGGTCTTCTCTTTTCGAACCCCCAAATTTTATTCATTTCGCCTTAACAACATTTTCCCGTTTGTTCAGAGTCTCTTGGGGTCTGAATGCACAGCTTGCGATCACTAGGGGGGGAGAACGTTTTGGCCACCCCCCTGGCCCCCGAGCTCCTTCGTATCTTGACCCCCTCCGTGTCTGGTCTATACCCTTTGAATATCCACCCCCGCTCTCCTGTTGCCCAGGTTCAGGGATGTGTTTATTCGTCCTATTAACGTGAACCAGGGACTCCTGGGCAGTCCCCCGCTAGCGGGCTCCTCTCCTCCCCTCGGCCACTGACACTGTCCTCCTTGCTTGGTGTTTGTTCCTTGCAGGGGGGCTGTTTCCCAGGGGCGCCGATCAGGAATACAGTGCATTTCGTGTAGGGATGGTTCAGTTTTCCACTTCGGAGTTCAGACTGACACCCCACATCGACAATTTGGAGGTAGCCAACAGCTTCGCAGTCACCAACGCTTGTGAGTAATGAATATTCATGACCTTTGGGGGCCGCGCGCGGAAAGCGGGCTGGTGTGTGTGTGTGTGTGTGTTTCTGCGTGTCAGTGTGTGGGTGGAGTGACTGCACACGCGCGTGCGTGTGACGGCGTCGGGAGAAAGTGGCTGCGTTCTCGGGGACCCCGCTGGCTGAGAGTTGGGGGCTGAAGAGGAAGCGAGAGCCAGGGGAGAGTGTGCGCACTACGGAGGGGGGTGGGTGTTGGAGATCGAAGGGGCTTCCTTAGGTTCGCGGGTCTTGGCTTGGCTGGAGTCTTCAAAAGAAGCCCCCCTCCCCTGCTGGCCTGGTGGCACCCGGCGCGCGGGGAACACGCGGTGCCCCAGGGCGCGCCGTCGGGCTGCTGGGTAGATCCCCCGGCCCCGGGGTGAAATCGGCGGGCCTCGCTCCGGGTCCCTGTGTGAACCCCGCGAGCTTGTATTCTGCCCCGAGACGGGACAGGTTGTCACCCTGGTCCCATAGCCGGTTTGGGGTCGTTACATAAGGCCCGCCAAGGGGTGCAGCGAGGCTGACGCAGGCCGGGGAACCCGTGCAGTCCTTCCTAGCTGCCCCGGGAGCCGCAACCCGAGTCCGGGGGCGATCGTGCGCCGGGCACCATGGGCTCTCGCTGGCCGGGGGCTTTGTTCTCAAGTCGCGGGGCTCCCACAGAGGATGCGGGAGGAAAAGGAACTGAAAGAGGTGGCATGCGCCGAGTTTGGAATCTGGAGAAGTAGCCAGCGATCAGCCATTTTAGTCTTTGCAGCCATCCTGTTAGTCCCAGCGCGCCGTGCAGTACTTGGGGACCCGCCGTGAAGCTACATCCAGGCTTCAAAGTAATAGGATTCAAGCAATTAAGTCTCCGCACGGTTCAGTGGAAAGACCGGCTGGCCCGGGTCCAGGCGCGGCCACCCCCGCGCGGACGTGGGCGGTGCGGCTACCGCCGGACCCCCTGCCCTCTGCCGGTAGCTGCTATCCTGCCCTGCCGCCTAGGTTGGGGCGACTCCTTTTTGACTTGATGCTCTTGGTGTTTATTGCAGAGTTGACAGTTTCGCGGGGGGATTTACAGATGCCTCACCTCCTACTCTGGCTTCCCTGTAAAGGACGGAGCGGAAAATTACCACCAAAAAATCCCAACTGCAGTGTCCCCACGTTAGACAAACAACTGGTTATCATCCCACGTCCCCATGTTGAGCTTTAATCGTATATTCCGTGGTTAGTTTGATTGTAGTGTCAGGCACATCCTCAGTCCATTTTGAAACTGCCATCAACCCAATGAATGAAGGAATGAAGCAACTGTCTTTGATAGAACAGGGGTCATTATTATGGAGCTGTTAGATGCTTAGAATTAAACTGTTTATGAACGCAGATTTAAGAAGATTTCAGTGCTGTATATATATTTTTTTTCACATGTTGATTCCAAGAGAGAAAAGAAACTGGGCATGGTGGGAAGGAGGTGGGAGGAAGAGAGACTGAGACTTAAGTGAATTTTCAGTTTTAAAAAAATCTTCCTAAAAGACTGTAAGAATATCTTGAAAAATTTTAGCACGTAGATACACAAAGAAACCGGCTGTAGTTTAATTTTTGAAGGCCTTTATAATTTGACCTATTTATCTACCAGAATTAGATTATTCACTTGAATTGATACCTGGTCTCCGGTTGTTGTTGTTTTTTTTCCCGTCTGAATTGTGAGTTTGACACACAATTGGTCTAAATATCAAACTGTTTGTAATTGTATACTAGTGTGAAAATGCTGCGGAAAGTAATGAACCTAAGGCAAGACTAGGATTATTGGGAGGATTTAGGTTTTTAAAACTAGGTGAAAAGAATCGATATCTCTGCGTTTTGAAAATGGTCAATGATATAGAAGTTCATTCATTGGTGAGAATTATGCCAGGGTCTGGCTGAGAGCAGGGGATTAGGTCCCCTGAAGGAAATGAGTGTTTCCTCATTCCAGATACTGAATGACTCTGCTGGGGCTTGTAAAGACTAAAGATTATGGTTAGTTAAGGTTAAGTGACTAGTTTAGGTCCTCAGTCTCAATATTTTTGAATAATTTATTTAATATAAATTTTATTGACATAAGATATGCAGACAGAAAAATACACATATTAAATACAGATATAAATACATAAAGTTCCACAGAATGGATACATCCATGTAATAAGAGATGGGTTTCATTAGAAAAACAGAAACACAATTTAATTTGCTTGACAATTCTAAACCATCCAAGTGAGTGGAGTGAAAGTCACTCAGTTGTGCCAGACTCTTTGTGAACCCATGGGACTGTACAGTCCATGGAATTCTCCAGGCTAGAGTACTGGAGTGGGTAGCCTTTCCCTTCTCCAAGGGATCTTCCCAACCCAGGGATCGAACCAAGGTCTCCTGCATTGCAGGTGGATTCTTTACCAGCTGAGCCACAAGGGAAGCCCAATTCTAAGAAAATGGGAAAATCAAATCTTCACCGTGCATTGATATTTTGTTTTTCTCAGAAAATGAAGCTGAAATAAAAAGTTGCATGTCTCCATGTCCCAAAGTTGCTCCTGCATGGGTTATTCGATGACACTAAAATAAATGACAGTGAGGATCTGAATGTATTTTCAAGTTTCTGGCATGGGAATTCAGAACCCTGGCCTCTGCAACTCCATGTGCTATGAGTAATCTTACAGATTGCTGAATAGAACTAGTTACAGAAGAAAAAATTCTATTCTATCACTCATTGAGTAGAATTTTCTGGAGTTGACATTAACTCATCTACTCGGCACTTAAAATTTTTGTGGCTCAATTTCTTCATTCCTTTAGGAATTTTGCAATACAGAGTTTGCAAAATGAAATGGAGTGTTTGTGTCCCTTTTTTTTTCTTTTTAAACCAAGAGTAATAGAGAATGTAAAATTATTTTTTTTCAGAGGGAGAGATGCTTCCATATAAACTGCATTCAAAAAGTGAGCAGTTCAGAAATGAGTGGAAATCTCTGACCAAATTTATTAAAGATGAGTCTTGATCACTTAAATCCTACTCAAGGCTTTTTCTCCAACGCTTCTCCTTTGTTTCCTTGGCTCCTCAGTCAGGGGAATCCTTGATTCTTTCCTTTATGAAGTGGAAGCAGCAGTGTCAAGCATGTAGGTAGCGGAAACCAACCTGACTTTCTCCCATTTCCTACAGAAATTTAAGGAATTCTACCTCATAATTCTACCATTAAAATATGTATCATCAGTCAGCGTTCATAAAATAGCTTGCCCTTCCTCTGAGTTAAAGCATAAAAATCCCATAGGGTAGATTTAACCCTGTGTAATATATAAATTTAATGTATTAAGAAAGTAAAATTGTGAATCTTAATAATATAATTGCAAAATAGCAAAGACTTCAGTTTGCTAATTTCATTGTATCCCTGAGATGGAGGGGCTGCTTTGGGGATGCTGAGACTGACATGGCAGGACCCACTGAATGGGTTAAAGTTTTGCAAACGAAATGAAGTCCTTACATTCTGAACCCAGTAAATGCTGTGCTGGCTCTGAACTCCCTCCCACGCCCTCTTTCACAGTCACAGTGGGATAATTCAAGTACCTACTTGTTCCCATTTGTTTCCATGGTACCTGAGGAAATAAAGACAGATTTTCAGTTTTTTGCCTTCTCCTTTTTCTGCCTCCCTCCCCATTTCCTTTCTTCCTTCTTTCTTATTAGCGAGAGAGCCTACTAAGGTTTTATTTTTCTTCCCCCTCAAGCCTGTTCCAACTTAAGACTTCAACATGAGAAAGTCCATGAAACCAGAAAAATAAATACCTTAGCATCCGATGTTCAACAGTTAAATCGGTGATGGGCCTCAAGAATTCCTTCCTTTCTCTCTCCTTTCCTTCTTCTCACCTCCCGCTTCAGCGTCAGTGTTTGTTGAGTACCTTCTGGTCATCAGAGAATAAATGAATGCTATTCCTATAGTAATTCATTTTTCCCTAACCTTTCCCCTTAATTCTCTTTCCAATAGTTTTCAAATCCTTATGGGCCTGGAGGCCTTTCCTGTACATTGCCACTGGGTCTTGTCTGAGCAGTTTGGTCTGAGGATGTGATGATATTCTAATTGTTTTTCTTCAAAAGCAATTTATTACAGTAACAACATTTTTATGAAAATAATAAATGTGATATTTACATGTGTATGCACATATTGTATATAGGTTAACAAAATCAACAGGTTTTAGGAAATAATAAACATTTTTGCATTCTAAAAAGTTTTGATAAACTTTAATGTTGTGCTCATTATTAAAACTTGGTTAAAATAAAATTGTCTAAAAGGGCTATGAACATATTTGATCACATAGGGCTTTGGAATTAAAATTATTAAATGTCTTCAAAATTGTTCCTATTTTTTTAATGAATGACTGACAAATAGCTATTAATCTATTTAAAAATAATTTAATACTTTGATATTTCAATTTCATAAAAAATAAATTAAAAACATTAAATTTAAAGAAATAGCAGATAAAAATATGCTTTTTCTCTAAGCCAGTAGATGGAGATGTTGGAGAAAACATAGTTCTTTCATAAAACTGTTGCACACACTGAATGCCCATTGAAACATTATAAACACATTTATTTAGAGAAATTGAAAAAATATAAGTGGCATCTGTTTTAGAAAAATTCATTTAAAATGAGGTATTTGATAAGTAACTCCCAATGCCTTTTAAAAAGGGTGCCTTTGATTTTTTATTTTATTTTTAAAATAGATTATCTTATATATTCTTGTGAATTCGATTCATAAAGAAATTCAGGAATAGCATTGATTATAGTACTGTTGGAAGAAAGAATTCTAAAAGTATATTTTTTGGCTTTTTAACCTTGATTCTTCATGTGTAATCTATTTATTTTATTGAAGTATATTTATTTTATTGAAGTATAATTAATTTGCAATGTTGTGTTAGTTTTGTATGTGCATGCATGCATGCTAAGCTGCTTCACTTTTGTCTGACTCCTTGCAACCCAACGGACTGTAGCCCGAGAAG